AGGCAGGCACACAGACGCGCGCACACGCACGCACGTGCGCACACTCAGCTGCTGTAAGTGAGAGACATTCTAAGGATAAACTCTTCAAATGTACGGCGCGCAATACACACTGGTGGGCAGTCGAGCGCCCCGTTAATTTGACTCTCGAGGAAAGTTTTGTATACTCGCATGTAAGAACATGAGAGTACAAGGGAAGCGTTGTGACGTCCGTCACTCAACCAGTAGTGGACGCTGTCAATGAATAGAGATTGATGTTTAGTTTATTGATACCACATTTTAACTCAAATAGGTTTTCCGCGCATTCCACCAGTGTGTGCCACTGCTGTAGTTCCTCAAGCCAATACGTTCACGTAAGAGCATGAGTGTGTAAAACGCAGAAATCGCTGAGGCGTCCATTATGTGCTAGGCGTTTTCATGAGTACGACACAACATTCTATCCAAGTAGGTTTCCGTATAATAGTGCGATTCTTAGCAATGAACACCCTGGTGCTCAGAGCCTTGTGAACCATTGGGCAGAGCACATATCCCTGGAGTTCCCAACATGGGTTTGGTTTTGTTTTGTTACACATAAATTGCTAATGGTTAAAAAAAAAAAAAAGGTCTCGTCAAGGTCAATGGCCGCCCACTCGAACACCTGGAACCCCAAATCCTCCGCATGAAGCTGCAGGAGCCTCTTCTTGTTGTGGGAAAGGAGCGCTTCCAAGATGTTGATATCAGAATCCGAGTCAGCGGTGGAGGTCATGTTGCACAGATCTACGACAAGCCTTGGCTAAAGCTTTGGTAGCATATTATCACAAGTATGTCGATGAGCAGAGCAAGAAAGAATTAAAGGATCAATTTTTCGCATACGATAAGTCACTTCTTGTTGCCGATCCTCGTCGCACTGAAGCCAAGAAATTCGGAGGACCAGGAGCTCGCGCTCGTTACCAGAAATCCTACCGTTAAATGGTTTTGTTTTGTTACACATAAATTGTTAATGGTTTAAAAAAAATGGGGATGGTATCTGGTCCAAGGCAGTTATTTGATGGTCGATTTCTTGTTTCATGGACGCTACAAGGGGTGGGGTCGTGTTTAGTCGAAGAAAATTTTTTGGATGGCTCATTGCTCTTGTGCGTAAACCTAATAGGGAAAGGGAAGGGGAAGGGGAAGTGGGGGGGGAGGGGGGGGGGGGAGAGGGAGATCGCGAAGAAATTTGCAGCGTTGTTAAAAATCTTCCAGTCTCGTTTGCTTTTCACGGTTTTCCCCGTCGCACATGTGCCGTATATCCTCACCCGCGACTGCTCGATCGTGTCAAAGAGGGAACTACGGGGAATGTCAGACAGCACTTACCCGTGTACTTTTGGAGCCAGCTCAGCACCGACAAATTCGAACTCGTCAGCTAACAGTCAGGAGCCGGATCCACTATCCACTAATCTATCGGTGCACAACTAGTTTGCCCCTTGATGTTGTTGAACTATGAAGGTACTGAGACAACTATGATGGATATCAGTATATGAGGGCTTATGAACGGCATTAGACAGGAAGCACCGCCATGAAATACTTAGTGAGCGTCACAACAGTGATGAGAATCTGTTCCAGCATGTGATATATGAGGCGTAACGAGGGCCTTGGCGACTTGTTACAAAAAAAAGATAAGAACTGTTGAAAGGTGTCAGAAAGGAAGCGCCACAATGTTTTTAGCGCACGTCGTAATAGTGAAACGCCGGTGTGTGACATATGGGGTCCAATGAGGACGCTGATGATGAATAGTAAGTAGTGATAGCAACCGTTAAAGGCTGGTAACAGTGGACCTCTGCCATTCCCCTCCACACTCCTTGCCACTGAACTGTGGCTGCTGCAGCTCATATTCCGAGGGTGATAGGTTCGATGACTGATCGCTTTTTAATCCTTTTCCGATATCAATATATTCACAAATTCTTCGACAGCTATCTATCTATCTATCTATCTATCTATCTATCTATCTATCTATCTATCTATCTATCTATCTATCTATCTATCTATCTATCTATCTATCTATCTATCTATCTATCTATCTATCTATCTATCTATCTATCTATCTATCTATCTATCTATCTATCTATCTATCTATCTATCTATCTATCTATCTATCTATCTATCTATCTATCTATCTATCTATCTATCTATCTATCTAATCTAATCTTATCTATCTATCTATCTATCTATCTATCTATCTATCTATCTATCTATCTATCTATCTATCTATCTATCTATCTATCTATCTATCTATCTATCTATCTATCTATCTATCTATCTATCTGAACGTGGTGGATATTTTATGATATTGATGGCAGCAGTGACAAGAAACAACAACTAACCCAATCTAAACCTCTCCCTTTCGCCTGGCCCCTCCTTTTTTGACTATTCAATTCGATGTACTACAATGTGAGATTTGATAGTGTTACCATCGGAAGTTATAGTTCTTACGAACCATAGAGGCTTCAAGGAATGTATTGAGTATTGGAGCCGGCTAACCAGTAATTAAGAATGGAAACTAGGGAAAGGTAAGTAAGCCATTAATAATCGGAACTTAGGCCAAACCTTAGAGGCCGTCACAAATATCCCTCATGTGTTCTGTTCAAAGGGTTTATAGCTAAAACTCCTATGCCGAACTGGTAACAACTAAATTACCCAGTCTGCCATCAGACTTACTTTCCGCTTTACAGACTTACCCTTTAAACTGGAAACGGACGATCTACCTTGACCGTATCGTAAATGTTCGAGACGGTAAATAAGATGATTTGCAGAATGCTGCATAGCTTATATTATTTGTTTCATGTAGTAATTATTTTATTTCAAGCGTCTTCTTTTCATCGGTCCATGAAGTGAAACTGATTCCATCCAAAAAAAGGGAAGAGGAACTGCTTGGCATCCTGAAAATCACCATTTAGAAAAAAATCTCTGAACCATTTCTTCCTTCTGTTCCTTACTGAGGACATGGACCTGCTCTAGCCCTCGCTTTTCTGCATAACGACTAACTTTTACTGACTTTTACAGCAGGCAACCTGCGAACAACCACTCCTGTCACAAGCCATGCGGGATGTTGACAACGAGGGTGAAGCTCATTGGCGTGAGGAATATGGCAGCTGCTCTGCTCTTTGATTAATTTGCCTCTTTATAGCGACATATTAACCGTCCCAACAAGCATGAACACCACTGACTTCTTTTGTGGTAAAAATAATCTTGCACAGACTAACAGATGGCTGAAATAGTATAGGTCTCATTTTTGAAGGCTAACAGTACCCTCGAGATCGAGATGATGTAAAGTAAGACGCTTACCACGCACGCGGTCACGGGATCGATCTCGGATCTGTTCTCGACCAACCGTACCTTCCCCTTCCAGTGACGGTAAATCGGTACTCACATCCGTCTGTGAGGATAAGAACACTGACAGTGCACGACGGCCTTGAATGTCATTGTATAGACCGTATCGCATCCAACAAGCCGCTAGGCTTCTAACAACTGACGCATCCCAAAAAGGAATTGAATAACGGCAAAGAGTTTCTCCTTGTATCCTTTCAAACTCTTGCTCCAGTGTAGAGTCTATAGAGTGGTCGGCAGAACGATCCGTACCAATAAAGTTGGGTGACCACATCAGTATGACCAGTGGAAGCAGTTCCTCTGAGAGCAGTCGCTATCTCATCCACGTAAGCTTCTTTT